TCTCTCTCTCTCTCTCTCTCTCTCTCTCTCTCTCTCTCACACACACACACACACACACACACACACACACTCAGTCTCACACTCTCATTCTTCCCTACGCGTTCGAATTTGTCTCTTTCTTTCTTCTCCATTGCCTCCCTTCCGCCTGTTCGATTCCATCCCCCTCCACCCCCTCTCCCGATCTTCCCCCCACCAATACACCAATCCGCTTTTTTCCGGATCCTCCTCTCTCCCTGTCCTATGACTTTAGCCTCTCTATCCCCGTCTTCTCTCCTCCGTTGGGATCCTCTCTTTCAATTTGTGCGCTCCATCCGCCCTGCCGATCTTCCCCCTACCAATCCACCAATCCGGTTTTCACCATCCTGTTCGCTCCTTGTCCTACGACTTTAGCCTGTCTATTCCCGTCTTTCTCCACGCCTCTCTCCTCCGCTGGGATGCGCTTCGCGCTCCTGCTCCTCCAATACTCGATGTGCCCCCTGTGGATGTGGTATGTCCTCTCTTCATCTGTCTCTCTCTGTCTCTCTCTTGATTGCTCTCTCTCCATCACCTGCATATCCACATTTACCCTATCCCTCTCGTGACTCAGTCCCTTCGTCGATATCCTGCTCTCTCCTTTCCTTACAACATGTTCCCCCTCCCTCCGCGCCGAGCCCGTCTTCCTGCCTTGCAATCTCTTCTTCCACACCTTGTCCACCTCCCCCCCTACACGACCTGCATTCCTTACCCTGTGGCCTTGTCCTTCCTTCTCCTGCACTTCATCGGTTCCCAGATACTCACCCTGATTGGCTGCCATTCCGACCTTCTCCTCCTCTCGATCCCACATCCTGATCGGGCCCCCCTCCCAATCCGCGCTGCTGCCCATACCCTTCGTAGCAAAATGGGGTCCCGACCTACATACTTTAGGTACCTCCTCGACGTCTTTTCCCCCGAGACAACCTCCTTCACGATGGCAAACTTACCTTTTGCGTGCTTCACCCTATCCCGGTGACTCTCCTTCTGCTTCCTCTGTCGTCGCATCCAATCCTGACCCTCTCCTCCTCCTGATCCCGCATCCTCACCCTCACCCTTCGTCTTTGTCCTTCTACTACAACCGCTCAAGATTCCGATGGCGTCCTGCTCCTGCCTGCCTGACCAGGCAATTGACCTCCCCCTAGTGTTCCTTCTCC